TGTTCCGATTAGTTAAAAAATATTGCTAGGACCGATTAGTTATTCTTTGCATATGTTTTTTTTAGAGAGGAGGCATATTGCCCGGCTTTAGCACGCTGGAGCCCTTACAAGCACAAATCCAGGTTCAAAGAGGTTCGCCGAAAAAGAACGAGAATAAAAGTAGAAAGGTTCGATACAGACCCATAGGGCTGAGGCATATGCTAAGATGCTGGTCTACTTGTCAAGTTATTCTCAGCTAGAAAAGTCCATGTGAGATGAAACCGTCAGGACGTAATCCATAAAACACATACTAGCAAAAATGCCCGTGCGTTGCAACGGGACAAAAAGTTATCGCACCACCTAGCCTCAATAAGCATTGCTAAGACCACCTCCCCCATCCATACACAAGTCAATGTCCTATATTTTAACCCCCACCCGTGTGGTCGTCTATATTTCTTCCACCATGATCGCGGCAGATATATGTCAATAAATTTGTATGAAAATATATTCCTGTACTCTATGCTTATTTGCTATTATATTCTTTATTTTATTTTATTGTTGCATCATCATATCATCATGCCATTAAAACACAAATAAATAAACTGCATAGATCTTTGATCTATTTAAAATGAGGGAATTCATTGTGGTTCTCTTTATAATCCATGAACATATCCTCCCAATATTATTAGCGAGCTAGAATAAAACATTCCATTAATTTTGGAATCACCCATAACCAGACTTGCAATTGAATTTCCTTTTGATTCCAAATATTTTAAATTCATGTGATATTCTCCAAATAACTCTTTGAAGTTGTGGTGCTTTGATTTGCCAAATCTCATCTTGGTTCCCCTTGAAATAAATTCTTTTTGTTTTCTTGTTTGAAAAATAGAAAATGAAGGAAAGACTTTTTTTTCTACCAGGCCGCCCCAGCTCCTTCCCTTTCGCCATAGAAGCCGCGGCCCATGCCCTAGGCACACCTCGCTCTCCCGATCAGATAGATCGAGCATCACAACTAAAAAAAAGATAGATCGAGCATCATTGTCTCAAAAAAAACCCCACCACCCACTCCTCTTCCTCTCGTTCCCCTGGACCCCAGGCCCGACCAGCAACCACTGCAGCAGTTTTCTCCAGGGAGCCCGCCCATGGAAGATGATGGCGCGTCTCTGTCTCGATAGGTCCGCCCTGGATCCACGCCGGAGCAGTCGGATCCGCCGCGTTGGCCACGCAGGCCGCCGCTGGTGCCCTTCGAGGGGAGGACGCCTGGGTAAAGATGACCCGTATATCTCATCCTGGTGTCTTAGCTTGCTTGATTCTTGCAACTGACGAACATATATAAGTCGGTAGGATTTCGTTTAAAGGAGCACGGTGGTACTATTCTAGTTGATAAAATAGAAATATAAATTTGTGCAGCGGGCCTAGCCTGGCCCATCTGAGCAACGAACGTATATCAGAAAAATCGAACGTAGCGTACGAGAAGCAATCTGGAGTGCGGGTTGAATAACAGAAACCACAGGTTTTTTTGTTGCAAAATTACTGTGCAGCGGATCGCCGGACGGGCTGAGGCCCAAGTGGCAACGCTTCAGCCATGTGAGACATCTCAGGGCAAGGCCCAGGTAGTAGTGCGGACAATAGATTATGTACGCATGAAAATTTAGGGACGTGGTTCCCCAAATTAGTACCACCTTATCACTACACCACGGTACGTTATTCCCTACCGATGTGTGTTGGAAAAGTTATCAATTACCGACCAATCGTTGGTTGAGAAAGCCCTCGTCGGACTGTTGGTTGGGAAAGCTTTCATACGCCGATCAACAGTCGGTCGGGAATGAATGCACAAATGCCATCGAGCGGTCGGTCGGCAATTCTTGTATACCCTTTGAACTATGGGTCGGTAAATAACGCCGACCGACCGCATGTGGCTAAATGGGCCAAGCGCGCGACGAAAAAATTTAGCGCCAAGTTTTGGCCCAGCCCGCGAACGTCGCTGCTCTTTCCTTCCCAGTACCGTGAAATCCCTAATTCCCCACTACTAGCCGCCGCTCACGCCGCCCCCAACATCGCGACGCTCACTGCTCTCTCCGGTCGGCCGCTGCACCGCGCCGTCGCCCTCAAACCCTCCTGCCGCCCCCACAGCACCCATCCCCCCCCGAGATCGAACCCTCTCCACCACCAAGGTGCTCCATCCCCACCCCGTCACCAAGAACTCCGGCCTCTTCGTCATCCTGGGTGCCGGGCAGATACCGGGGAAGACTATGTCGGACGTGGAGAAGCACTTCCCACGCTATCTTGCTCCTCCACTGCCGGCCCCACGTCGTCCTGCCTACCAGTGCCCCCCACGCGGCCCTGCTCCCCGCCGTTGCCCCCTCCAGGTTGCCGGCGGCGGAGATTTATGTCCGTGCGAACATCCCGGTGAGGCATCTCTCTCTCTCTCTCTCTCTCTCTCTCTCTCTCTCTCTCAACTGACAACCAAATTCATCTCACAGATCGGAAACATCAGTGCCAGTGGGTTCTTCTTCAGAGACCATCCATTTGACGTTCTGCCCCGAGTCCCGATGACCTTCTTATGTGCGGATGTCAAAAGACATGCCTTCTTTGTACCATTCGCGAGACCAAAGTGAGTTCAGAGTGTACGTATTTCTCAAATTAGTTCTTGAGTGGACTATTTGTGTCTATGCTCTTCAATCATTGCAAACCTATTTCTGATATTCCCGTTGTGCTTCTGTTGGACAACTTCAGATTTGTGGGCAAAAAAAAATCCATAATCAAACATTTATATGTATAAATCTTATTCAATACAAATATCCTTTGTCCTTGCCAACGGGCACCCAGAAAACATTATTTGTTTGAAGTAAAGTACCCACATGTAGCATTTGAGAGGGGATACAAAATAGTTTTGTAAAATAAGCTGGCCATAATCTGAAATCTGATTCTGAACTCTGTTGTGTTTTCTACAGCACTTACATGTTAATGTAGATGGAATTGGATTATGAAACCAGCCTTACCATGATAAAAGTACTGAACCTGACATCTACAAAAATATATTCCTTGCATAATCTCTTGCTTTTCCTTGATGAGAAGCCTTATGTTCAACTTGTATATTTCAGATTTTGTTTTTTCAAGTTATTTTTGTATGGACAATGTATGATACAACCTGTATAATATTGTTGGTGAACATTTATAGCAGTGCCTGACAAAAGAAGGCAGCCAAACCTACTAACCAGCGGGATCCGAATGATGTGTGGATTTCCAAAAGGTATTTTCTTATACTGTTAGACCATGTTTGATATTGATTTCATGAATTCCTGCTAAAACATCATTGTTTCCTGTGAAGTTCAATTCCTGTAGCACCTATTTTGTTTCCTGTGATCCACATGTTAGGCAAAGAAATGGTTCGATTATGTAAAGTGTAGTCCTTGAAAACTAAATTAAATAGCTAGATAAGCACTGCCCATTAGTTTTCTCCCTCCTCCCCTCTCTACCTGCAGTGTACAGATTTCAACCCCCGGCGACGGAGTCATGCACCACATCGGCCCAGCGCGCAATTTTATGTAAAAAAACTAGCACTACTTTGATTCATGGATTGATTTTTCTATGAGCGAGCAGTAGCGTTTCCTGCTTTCAGCATGTTGTCTATTCTACATATATCTATTTAACTTGTGTGAATCCTTTGTTTCAGACCTAAAATGTTTCCTCAAAATTAATAATTTGTGCCCTGTGGATCATTGCTGCTATCCTCTGTAGAAACGCCCAATTTGAAGCGGGATCACTAAGCATATTGATCACCATCTAAACATATTGGTGTCACATTTCAAGATTGATCTGTCATTGAATGCCATTTAGTGGACGTGTGTCAGCTTAAGAGTACAAATATATGAAGCATTTCTCCTCTTGTTATTGTACTTAGTTTTCCACCGATGACAGGAAGAAGAAGGCCATTCACAAGACCACGACCACTGATGGCAAGATCACGACCTTGAAAATGGTAGTAATGAACACCATTCTTGGTATCAAAGAGGTCAACATTGTCAAGGATGACTTAGTTATCCAATTTCAGAATTCGAAATGTGAAATGTTGACATGTTATACCATTACTTCTATAGAATTGAGGATCCACTTAAACATTTCTTCTAACATTGGTGATTCTTGATTTCTCCCAGTGCAAACATCCATCACAACACATGGGTAGTCACTGGAACACCACCGTTGAAAAGTAACTCTTGCTTTAGAATCTTCATGGCTTAATTGTTTCGTCGAGTAGCCTTATTTTTCTGGAGCAACATAAATATCTTTAAGATATGTCAAACTGCTTTCGCAGGCAGTGATCTGAATTTTATTTGTACATCTACTTTTAAGTTTGATGGGTATGTAAATATTATTAATGTACATGGCATAATATGATATCCACTTGAACTCCTTGTCAATATTCAATATCAAAGTTGAATATGTCCGCCTTGCCCCAAACTCCACAGTCTTAGTCACTGCAATTTAACTTTATTTATATATGCAATAAAAGTAGTTGAAAACCAAACTGGTAAATTCTAGTTGTACCATATTTGTTCTTTGAGAGTTGCACTACATTCTTTGACTTGACATAACTGCAATTTCACCTTTGGCCCTTTATTTTTGACAGAGCTGCAAGATATTCTGGCAACACTTATCAACCAACTGGTAAGTCCCTTTACATTCTCACATTAGTCCAATGGTTGCCTATGTTTCCGGAAAAATATCGCCATACTTGAAATGGAAGACAGTAAAACATTTGAACCAAACTATTGCCTTTATACCATGCCTCAATAGGAAATTCCTTTTCGACAGGACCTGATAACATGGATAGCCTGTGAAGCTATATAGCGATGTACCTCTTCTGGTTGTTGATTATTAAAATTTTATTGTTTGACACTCATCTCCACCCAATTAACTTTCAATGACCAGGAGCTAGTCATCCATGGTGGCAACGACATCGGGAAGATCTCACCTTGCTTTTTTACTTGGATTTATAGCCTGGGTTTGTTGGTGAAGTAATGATCGAAGGAGATATTAAATTGTTGTCTGTGGTAGCAAATGGCTTGCCTACAACAGAGGACTTTGAGCATGTCACTGATTTGGAAATATTGAAGGTTCCACCTGTCCCCATGGATAAATTCCTTTATCTTTTTATTGGGTTAATCTCTACAGCAAATAATTTTAAACGTAGAATAGTGGTTCGTAGAACTGGGGTATCATGCGTGGGTAGTGACCACCTTATTGAAGATCCTTCTTCCTGTTTTGATTGCATTTTCATTCACTATGTACTTGGTTACACCTTGTCACAAGACAACACTCTTCAAAATTTTGTCAAAACTCTTCTTGTGTTCTGTTTATTCTAGAATTACAGCTCCTCACTTCATGGTCAATACTTATGTGCCTCTTTTGCTGCCTTTGATAAAATCATAAAAATGAGGTGGTGAACGAGGAGCTCTGGAATGAAGCACAGACATATGGAGACATCAAGTTGCTGCTGTTTGTTGATTATTATAACAAGTGGTACATAAATTCATATGTATCTTTTTATGGCACAGGGAAACTCTTTGCTTGACGGAAACTTAAAAAAAACTAATGATGGAAACTTACTACTACTGGCGTTTTGGATGGCCATGTGTACTATTATCATTTATCATGTTGCAGATGCTTAGCAAATGCCTTCGCAGCTATCTGTTCTTAATCGTCTGATTTCTTGCTCCTTTCACTTATGTAGGAATGGCAAGTTATCCCCCATGGGCAATAGACCAGGATAAATTGTATGTCAGGATATAGCAAAAGAAGTTTACAGGAAACACAAAAGAGGGGAGCAAAAGGTACATGCTCTTCTAAAATTTGTAGAAGGGCTTCCCCTTTTCTCGTTAGTGATAATGAATTCTCTTCAGTTGCTTTCATATGAAATGATATTGAAGGAAGCTTATAGAAAATACAATGTTCTCCATTTGTGGTGCAGAATATTAACTGTGGATTTTGACTTGCAGATTTTCAAGCTGGAGGATGTCCTCCAAGATGAAGAATGAAAGCTTTGATGTCAAGTATGAGAACGATGCAAGGATCTTTTTCGAAGGCTATGAGGATGGGCATGTAGTTGCTTCCCCACTAGTAGGAGCCAAGGCAGACAATGTGCCTTTTAGACAAATTCTAGAAAACAAAACAAGGATTTTTTGCTCTCAGACAATGAACCATAACGTTTCCTTTATTTAATTACTTACATTGGTTTATAGGAAACTTTGATGGTCATCTGTGTGTGTGTGTGTGTGTGTGTGAAAAAAATAATGAATGTGTGTTATTATTGTTTGATTCTAGTTTAATATTGTTGGATGACATGCACCTTATACTATTATGAATTATGTAACTTGATTGACATTCTATTGGTAATGTGAAATCTAACAATGGGAGGGCTAACGGTTGTTGGTCGCTAAAACAACAAACCCCGTCAGACAGTTGGTCTGGAAAGGTTAATTCTAGGCCCAACTGAACGTTGGTTGGGAAATAATTCACAATCTGATAGTCGGTAGGGAAAGGCCCATGGCAGCCCCAACAGATTGTTGGTCGGGAAATATTACCCTGTCCAACAGTCGGGAAAGGCCCATGGCAGCCCCAACGGACTGTTGGTCGGGAAAGGCCCATGGCAGGCTCAATAGATTGTTGGTCGGGAAAGATATGCCATAGCTGACAAGCAGTCGGTCGGGAAAGGGTTTTCCCGTCTGGACTTTCCCCAACAGACAGTGTCGGTCGGCAATGCTCTTTCCCATCCGACTGTTTGTTAGGGGAACTTGTATTCCTGACCAATTTGTCTGTTGGGGATGTAGTGCTATGGTGTAGTGTATATATATGTTTTAAATTCAAACTGAAAGAAAGTGTATTATGTCGTAATATTTGTATGTATTATCTTTTGGGCGATGCTAGGCGCCGGCGCATCGGCCGAACGCTTCGGCCGGTCCAACCCTAGCCGTCAGATCGGCCCGACCCGATCCGTTGGATCTTTATCCAATCATGTCGTCTTCTTCCTCTCGCGAGCACGGACAGGAAAAGGAACCCCGTCTCGGCGGCCGCACGCGTTTTTCCTCGTCGCCGCCCCCTTGCCTGCCTTCCCCGTCTCTGATCGCCGCCCGTCTTCGCCGGCCGCCCTGGTCGCCGGTCCCAGCCCTCGGCGGCCGTCCTCGTCACCGGCTTCGTTCATGCTACAGCCCACCCATGCAGTTGTAGTTTCCGTGGCAACCATTGTAGCTCCGATGGCGACGACTGGAGCTCACTGGCGTGCTCACGGGTGTGCTCGCCGGCGCTCATCCCCCGCTTGCAACAAAAAAATCGAGTGCCCAGGGAGATGCCCAGTGCTGCAACCTATGACCAAAAAAGCTACAATCGGTGACCAAAAAAGCTTCAACCAGCTATGGAAAAAGTTTCAACTCGTATGACGGAAAACTATGAACGACCAAAGAAAAGTTACAACCGGGGACAAAAAAGCTTCATCTGGCGACGAAAAAAGCTCCATCCGACAATGGAAAAAGCTTCAACTATGAAGCCGTAAGCCATGGACAACAAACGAAAAAGCTACAACCGGTATTGAAAAAAGCTTCAAACTTGTTGTCTTAGCTGTGAACCTCGCGACGATGTTGACGTCGTTTTGCTGCAACCATAGTTCGTTTTGCTAAAACCGGCGTCGGAATTTGCTACAACCATTTTCCACATCTACTTGCTACTGCTCCACCGAGCTCCGACACCCGCCCATGGCCATCGTCGCCACGGTGCCATTCCGGGAGAAAAAAGGTTCAATGGTTGCAGCTCCGCGCGTGGTCGGTTGCAGCTTAGACGTGGTCAGGTCCGACGAGGCAGGCAGAGCTTCGATGACGCGGATCCGAGCAGATCCGGCCGAGGGCAGCTGGATCGGCTGATTCCCGTGGCCGCGAAGTCCCAGAGGCCTTCAGGCGGCGATGGTAACGACGGGGCCTGAGAACGAAGTAGAGAAGGAGAGAGAGATGACCGACAAAAAAAGAAAAAAATGAAGGAGAAGGATATGAGAGATGTCTGCGTGCGGCCCTTTGACCGCGTGGACGCGTGACCGGCCGAGCGTTCGGCCGGCGCGCCGTTCGCAAACATCTACCTTATCTTTTTCTAATGTAGCAAGATGCTTTTGAATGTCACTCGCAAAAAAAAGATGCTTTTTGAATGCCTATCTTGGGAGGGAGGGGGGCCAAGACAAAAGATTTTTCATATCCTTGGGGGTGGAGGGGGGGGCAAGACAAAAGATTTTTCATTTTTATTGATTGAGAAGAAAAAAGTTTGCCTAGTTAATTAGAGGAAAAATGGACGAAAATCTAGATTAGAACCCACCACGGGGCACACTCGGACGACCTAGCCACAAACGCCAAATAGTCGACCGAAGCGTCGAGAACATGGCAACTCCAATTTTACTGAAGAGCTTCACAGGAGAAAGTTGCAAGACTCACACCGGCCTAGTCCAATGCAACACTCGGAGAACACCGCCAGCTGAAAACCACCCTCATGGAGTCATCGGTGCCATAGTGACCCAGCCGACCTCAGCTCCGACTTCTCCGACACAACACGAAACTAGCATAGGTGTACACATTGGCACACCTGACTGTCGACACCATAAGGAGAAGCCGCGACCCAGCTCTGCTCGCCAACATCGTTGTTGCCGCATAGTCGCAACTCCAACCACCCACATTGCCGGACGGACACCAGGCCACAATGTCGTGCACGCCCAGCCCGCAGGACGCACCAATGGAACCAAGATCTTCAAGATAGCACCCTAAAGAGGGGAAACAATGTTGAAGACGCCACCGCCGCCAGACCCTGCAGCAGGATCTTGGTTTTCACCCGAAGATCTTGATCCAGGAGTTAAGGATGCGCAGATCTCCCCCGATGACGCCTCCAAGGAGCACAACGACGCCCACAGGCGCCATCCCTACCGGCCAACAAGCATCGGCCAGGCATTCACCCGGATTAGCCCAACCACCACTCCCTCGCACCCGGCAAAGGCCAGCGAGAACCTCGACTAGTCCGCGCACCCCTAACGCAACAAGCATGCCAATGCTGCACGGGGCCACCACCTTCCTTGCCGCCAGCAAACACAGGCAAGCCAGAATAGACCGATACCAGTCAGATCTAGCGGCCGCCCTCATGTACATTTTTTGTCTACGGACGTGTCTGCTATCTGCTTGCTTCCTAACACAAGAGGCACCATATATAATGAGCAAAGGTAATGCTAATAGTATGGTGAATAGCAGCATACCCTTTACCAATTATGAAAGAGGTAATAACACTAGTGGTGCCTAAACTTGTCATCGATGTTCACTTTGGTGCCTGAACTTGAAAAATACACCAAACTGGTTTTATAACTTGACAGTATGGTTCAAATATGGTTCAAATCACGTCTAGATACATATGTATTGTTGACCAATTGCGCCATGTGCCAACCAATTGCGCCATGTAAGTTTATTATCTTATACGCACTACAACATTTTATATATCCAACACAATCGTGGAGTTAAATGGGCTGCAGTTTGTGCACCCGTTTTCCACATGTTAGTTGTTTTTTCTTATTTTAGAAATTACAACATATTCAGGTAGTATTTCTAGGTGTAAAATGTATTTCTAGGTGTAAAAAGTGTGCACGTGTTTTAATAAAGTATATGTGTTTTTCAAAAGATATATTTTCGAATAAAAATAAATTTTAAAATATGTGTGAAAAAAAGAAACAACGGCCTAGTGTTCCCCCAGGATTTTATACATTCTTATATTTAAATTAAAATAAATTAAACTATACATACATTTGTCTAGTAAAAAACATTTTAATTACATGAATTTTTGAATAATACGTAAATATTTGATAAAATTACATTAATATGTTTTAGAATATATTTTTGTGCATATTATTTCTAAGACAATAAGATTCTAGCTTCATTTTTATTACTAATACAATAATTTCCATAAGTTTTAGAATTAATAAAACCGAAAAAGAGACTCACACGTCAAAGGGTCACATAGAAAAGCAAAAAGAACTATTTTTTTTAAAGACCTCGTGATATTTTTTTAACATGAAGATTTTGAAAATTATATTAACATTTCGAAAAAGTATAACTTTTAAAAATTGCAAAATTATTTTAACATATATGTTAATCCTTGCAAAAAATATGAAAGCATTTTATTAATTATTTTGCATTATTTTAATTTCTTGAATATTTAAAGTTGGATTAACATTTTTGAGTGGTAATCAAATTTTTATTTAATATTGTGACTATAGTTTATATATTTTTTTCTAAAAAACAAAAAATAACTAGCATGTGGAAAATTGGCATTGCAGTCGAATTAGCTAAAAAAGGTT